CTTAAAAAGTTTGTCAAATATTAGGAATAATGTGTTTCAAAACAACTTTCAATGCAGGTTAACAGAGAAAAAAATCATGCCTACACCGTTTATGGGTTGAATATTGCAGTTAAACCGAGTTTGAACTGTCTCAACTACAAAGCAAATTAACCTGCGTTGGAAACTAAATTTAGGAAAAAGGTCGACCACGCTCACAAAAGCCATCAGAAAACGAAAGGAGCCCAAATTGCAAATTTGCTTTGGATGTAAAAGGCTGAAAATGTTTTTATGATAACGAACGCAACAATTACAAATAGCGTCAATTAAATGTTTTTGATATTTTTGATTTGATTTGATTTGATAGGTTTTGATTAAATGAATTTTGCATTCGGCTTTCAAGTAAATGATTCGCAACATGTTTGATTTATTTAAAATGTTTTCGATATGACTAGATTGGACAACAGTCAAGCAATAATTTTAAATCTCGCACTATTTGCCAAATGGATATCAGCAGGTTTAAAACACATTATTACAAAATTGGCCAAAGAGCACAACAAGAAAGATTGTAGTTTTTGGCAAAACACATTGAACTGAATTATTTTCCTTATTACTCTCGCATAGTGTTTTTGAACCAAATAATTTCTGTTTAACTGAAAAACCCCAAATATGTGCGACTTCTTGTCAATATTAACTTGGAATTTTAAATATCTCATCGATATAGAAGGTTTGCCTCTACTCTCTATTTGATACCGCTTTTGAATGAACGATTTTGACATTAACTTTTGCAATCGACACGACCTTCTCTTGACTTAATTATGGAAAAATTTAAATCTAACTTAATTTATGGCGGATCCAGCTCAAGCTCAGCGATTTGCTCAAGTTCACGTAGTTTCTTCGTCCGCAGTTTGCGGAAAATCGATTTGCGAGGGTGAGCCTGATTAGACATATTTTTCAATTATAATAGTTAATTGAAACATTTGGCCAGACGCTTCTTTATTTTTGCATGGCCGTGCACTTATATTTTAACTCGAAAATGTTGAAAAATATGTGGTAATTCTGTTATTTCAATTGGTCACCACGTTGATTAATAGTTTCCATCACGAAATCGAATTTGACTGATTTTATAATGTGAAAATGCAAACAATATAATTCAGCACATCCTTGATGATTCTAATTCATTAAACATAAAACCGATTATTAATTTGACATAAATTTACATTGGAGTTTTGCGGCTTTGTTTGCCTTTTTGCCATAAAATGATAAAATACTTTCGCAATTGCTCATAACTCATATGCAGGATGACCGACTAATTAATACGTCCATGTTGAGTGCAATTAGTTTCGATTATTTGCACATAAAACACTAGTTTTGGTCAAAATGTACAAAAGCTTTGTGATCTACTTATATGGAGCCATTAGCAACCTTAAAGCAAAACGCACTTTATCTTCAATTGTACAGTTATTAAGTCGACCTAATTTCGAACAACAGTAGCCGCCTGACAAAGATATAAGACATTGCAGTCGTTTTTATCCACTTTTCGCTGTTACGCTTGGAGGAAGTAAATTTCAGGGAAATTACGTCTCATTAAAACAATGGATATTGGCCATTCGCTAGCGGATATAATAGTTCAGAGCCATCGTTCGTACTATTAAAAAGTGGTAAAACCTTTTCGCGATTTATCCGCAATAGAAAATTACTACCGGGTTTGAATAGTTTCATTAAATGGCTACTGGAATTGCTTCATTTTCTACTGCGAAAGACTGAAGTTCTCTCGTGTGGTTATTCTAGCGTTGTGTTATGGCTGCAGTTTCCACTCGTTTCAAAAAGTTTCAAATCTGTCARGCAACTATAACTTAATTGATGATGCGATCATTTGAGCAACTCCATAATATCAATTTATGAGGGTTCGTACCTTCTGTCTGCAGTATTTCGGACCAAACCAAAAAAAGATGACCAGGACTTGAGTTGCTTGTTGACCTCGGATTCTGTATCATTGAAGAATATGAATTATTAGGAATATTATGGAATATTTCAATACTCCTTTGCGTTTTCCAGTTCAGGTCACTTGCCTTCTTCAATCTCAAACAGCATCGTTGGAAGAAACATGAAATTTGTCAAGCATTTGATGCTAAACCGTATAAGGCCAATGGCCCTTGAAAAAAAAACGTCGTTTGTAACTGACATTAAAAGCTCAGTTTTACCCGTTTTGCACAAAAGCTTTGTTAGTTTCGCAACTATTATCCAAAGTTAATAAATTTGAGCAACCCTTTTTTGGGTAGAAATGGATGACACAGTTAGAACAAAGACACCATCACTTAGCCGGCTTCTATCAGTTAATGTAAACAACGAACCGGGAACAAAGACGGGAATAGTTGACATGCAATCCAAAAATAACATTACCCTATCTAACAATTCGCACGAGACCCGAGAAAAGCGCATCCACATCGTCGTCGTTTCCACTAGATCTCACAAAAGTAACCCGACTGCTTTCAGCTGTAATATCACGATGTTCTTGTCGAAGCTTGCCAGAGAGCTTTTACCACTCTCTTTTTGTCGGCTGCTTCAGCAAACAACACGAAATGAGATTGTTTTGTACTTGTCACCTCCGGTTTTAATTAGGGTAAGTGAAATGCCATTTTTACCACATCTCTATGTTTAACTGAGTTAGAGCGCTTTTCGCTTTACCAAGGATGATCTCAGCTGCTTAATTACAGAACTAAACTGAGACGAAGTAGAATTACATAATTAAATTGAACGTTCAAAGCAACGGGTCAGACGAAAAGAGTTTGCTCTGTTCATATTTATTTAATAATCGGAAGGTTTTGGTTGCAAAAATCAGAATATATCGATCTCCAATGTGGCAAAAAAGCTTAAAAGCTGACAAATTTAGCAATGAGGATCTAAAATGTCGGTGCTTACTTGAGAGGCTATGAAATTAATAATCTGGCAAATAACATATTGACAAATAAATGTGTATTTAAAAATAAACAATTCACTTTCAAATAAAGAAACTAACTGCATACTTAGAAATTGTAATAAGTTAAAGTAATTTAAATTGAAAATCAAATTATTTCGGAAAGAGCTTCTATGGACGATGTACAGATTTTCTTCCTCAAATTTAGTTTAGATGAAAACTTAAAACGCTATTTTTGTCACTTATTTGATAATAGATAATATCTGCTTCTATAAGTTAGTGTATAAGTCTCTAGGCGTATACTCCGACTACTATATAAAATACACAAAAGGCCCTATAAAATCAAAGAATCATCATATCAATCACAACATGAAATGCTGTCCGGATCAAGATCGCTAAAATCACCGAAAACTCAAATTTCATCAAAAAAACTCACTGCCATTTATTGGCTTAAATTTAGTGAGCTTATAATCTTGATCTGGACAGCTTATAGCCTAGGAAGGTGCTGCACGGCAAAAAAATGCAATTGTCGGACGGATCCTGGCCGCTGAAAACACAGCAAAAAAGAATTTGTTTAAATTTGAAAAAACCAGGCCGAAATCTTAATGGTTTGGCCAGCATTACATTCAACGTTTTAACGTGCTAGCCTCCAGTGGCAAAGTAATGTTAAACGTACCGAAAGGTGCATTATACCACCTGAAAAAAGAGACAAAAAGTTTGTCAAATTACATAAACTTAGCCTGAAACCCCGTTATTTGATTGGAAAGAAATAGAAAACTGAGTAGAACTTTAATTGTTTCTAGAACAACTAAGTTAAGTGTTTACAGATTAATAATCCTTCTTATCTGCTTTCTGCAAACTGGCGCTCCATCCTCTATTGTCTAATCATTAATCCTTAAGAAGCACACACTACACTTGAACACGCAATGAATATCCAGACGAAATTGAAAATAAATGTGGATTACACTCACTCAATTTACTGGTAAGACGATCGACCGTACTTGCCTAACTTGCACTAAGTTGATACTTTTATCCCGTATATGAACAAAGAACTGACTACCGATTTCGTGCTTTGTCCATAATAGACTGAACTAAATGTTCAGCTTTCCGATAAAACTTTAATTTCTAAATGCGAAATTATTTGTGCAAAAAGGGCTAAAGGCCAGATAAAAATTCAAGCTAGATCAGCATTTATGAATATTTTCCTCTCCTCGAATCATTGCATGCGAGGGAATAATTCAGTTGACTTTCCAAATTCTGCATTTTAGTATCGAATTTGTTAAAGTGATTGATTAGTGGGCAAATTTACTTTTAGTAAAAGCTGCAATTTTTTAACAAATGATGGTTTATTTTAAAAAAAATTAGATTATAACAAAAGCTTGAGGAGCATATTAGTATTAGAATAAATCTACTAGTTCTTCCCTGAAGCAAAAGATCACTTTTTTACAACCACTGAAGAAACTACCTTCTTCTCTTCTAAACAATTCGCTTATTCATATATTCATATGATCAACTTAGGTTCAGCTATTTTCATAATTTAGTCCTAGTGACAGGAATAAGCCAAATTTATCCCTTTTCAAGCAGATTCTCTCGACTAAAAATATTTTTACTCCTCCTGGACAAGAAGACAATAATTTTTTGAGAAAAATCGCATTTTTGCCGGAATAGAACGCGAGCCACATGCGGCAAGCGCGTGAAGATTTACAACTTCCCGGAAAAACACATTCATTGTATTTTTGCGCCGCATCGCACTTTCATAGAAATAATATAACATTTTTGATACATATAACCATTTTCATATCTAAACCAAACGGTTTTTCTCGTGTTAGAATTATGATGCGGAAAAATTCCGGTTCCACAGTTTCGGCCATTCAGAAAAACTCGGTCGAGCTGCAACGGTAAGATAGAGCGAGCATTTTTCAATAAATTAAAAGCACCCTGTGCGATTCAGTTATTATTTTTAACTAACTGATTCTACATGAAAATATGCGCATATATCACAAACAGTAAAATTTTAAAGCAAATCAATGCTCGCATGAAAAACCGTTAAGTTCACCAGCTTTGGGCGCTAAACAAAGTTAAACTAGTTTATAATCATTTGTTCCAGATCCACCGAAAAAGGCCTACCTAATGATCGATAACAGGATCTTGGATCCAGGAAACCCCTTCATTCCAGTGAAGGAAAATGCCGATTTAACTGTATCGTGTGTGGTGGACGAAGGAAATCCCAAAGCCTCCTTATCATGGGAACTGACTTTGGGATCGATGGCTCTTTTGGATATGCCCGAGCTGCCCTTGGAAGTGCTCAATTTGACCGAAACTGTTGTGGATCAGAAGGTACATTTTATAGAATTACGCAATAACGCTTTATTGAAGAAGATGGCAATTATTTGATTAATTCAACACTAGATGTCTAGGGTTTGTTATGAGAATTTAATTTTTTTTTGTTTCAGGCGGGCGCAAGAAATGACGCCCATATGGGCAAAGTGCTCAGAGCTCATCATAATGCAACTTTAACCTGTTTCATCAATCACATTGCTCTAGATCAGCCGCTAAATGTGTCCGTTCTCCTCAATGTACAATGTAAGTAATTTTTTGATTATATCAATGAAAATTTATTTTTCATGAACATTTTGCTGTCATCTTCTGAAATAATTTAAATTAGTTATTGATCGGTCGATGATAAATTTCGTTTAATTAACTTGCGGTACTTGCACGGTTTATTATTATTTATCCACGCCAAAGATCGTCATCTAAGCTTCGTAACTTGGCTGCTCTAAAATTCTATTGTTTTCCGTGTGATCTACTAATAAATGATGCACAACATGTACTGAATTCCCCTCAAATAAATTATCAGAAAACAGTGTTGTTCACAATATTTTAAGTGCCATTTGAAGTCAAAGTTTTAATGACACCGAATGCAATATGAAAATAGCTACATCACTAAGTCTTTAAGCCCGCTTCCTTTCTTACCCGCTTAACATCAAAATGTTTCCTGCAAACTCGCCCTGGGCTGCAGCAGTAAACTAGGATAGATTTTTATGACCATTCTCGGAAGTAAGGATAAGTGCAACTTAAAAAACAGCAATATCAACAACAAGATTTATGGCTTGATTTGGGCTTTATGGATAGAAGATGTATCATATTGGCTTTGCAACTTTGTGTTTTATGATAAACTGTCTACCGAGATACTTATACGTAATACTTTTCAAGTTAATATTCCCGAAACTCTTTGCAAAACTTTCCTAAGAAATGCTGAAAAACATTTATAAATGCACTTACTGCTGGTTGCGAAGTAAGAACTTCTTGAATTGACTGCGTTTTGTTCCATTGCAAAAACCTTGTCGGCGTATCGGCTAATAGTTCATAACATTTATCGTTATGTGTGGTTTTTATGGCAATAAATATTCGACTTATCACTAAATCGACCATTAAACTGTCGGCACATTTTTATCAGAACAACTTCTCAGCCGCAGGAAAATATTCGTGAGTTTTCACAAGGTTTCTTATTTATTCAACTTCCGCACCCATATATTCCGCCCCCGTTCGCATACATAGCTGCGACATTAAATTTCAGAATAGGCTTTCTAAATCAGCGAATTCCTTAAAACAGACCTGACAGCTTACATATTGGCACAGTGTTTCGCGAGAACTTTTAAAAGTTTCAAAATAAAATCACATTTTTTCAGCTCGAATCTGATGTGAAAATGAAAACATGTAAAATTGCTTTTTGTACAAGCAAATTTGGATTGAGAATTGCTTTCAGAAGCTTTCAAATAAATAAATATTCTATTGAAAAATTTCTATTCAATAATATAATTGAAAGAGTTTGCAAAAATGGAATTAAAAAGCAATTATGAACGAGAATGGCAAATTTGATGATATAAGCATAAGGCTTTAGGCGCTTTAAAGTTAGAGATGCCGCTCTCTGAGTTTTAGCTCATCAGTTAATGAGTTATGACTCATTTTTCCAAAAGCTCATGACGGCTCTGTTGATGTCGAAAGCTTTTCATTGTTCACTTGTTCTGTTCGGAGAAATATTGTTGGGAAAAAACTAGAAACAATTATTAGGACTTATTGGCAGTTGTTCCAATAAAATTTATTTTATATTTTTTTACAGAAAATATCTGAATATTGTTAGTATTTTTTAGCAAAACTTTTTAACCGGTGGCAAATTTTCCAAATATTTTTTTTTGCTTTTGTTCGCTAGTACTTTCGGTAAAAAACTAAATAAAATTATCTGATTTTTGTGGCAAATTTGAAGCTGGAAAGGGTTTTCTAAAATTCCCTGCAAAGCGATGAGTGAGGAGAATTTTCTAGCAAAATTAATTTTGTCATTTTTCTGATCAAAGAAGAAAAGCATTAAGAAATAATGTTTTTTGATCAAAAACCTTTAGTTTTGTAATCAGTTTTTGAGAAAACCTTAACGATTTTCGGGAAAAACAGGAGAAATTTATTTTGGTTTTTGTCCCGAATTCGACAATGGAAAGAAGGTTTTGTAAAATTCCTACAAAGCTATAAATGTATCTTGTAATTTTTGGAGCAAAAGACTCCAAAAGGCCAGAATGTAAGTATTTTTAAGTGAAATTCTTCAAAATAGACGTTTTTGCGTAGAAAGTAAGGCAAGGAAAAAACTCAGTCAAAACTAAAAGACCAGAATTTTTGAACAAATCCTTCAGAGGGATGAGAGTGACAGGTTTTCAAATATAATAATATTATAAACATTCGCTTATTCCGTCCGTTTCTTAATCAAATTTTTTTTTTATTTTGTGCTAAATTCGAAGCTGGAAACGGATTTTAAACCTTTTTACAAAGCGACGAAGGAGGCGAGTGTTCTAATAAAATGTATTTTATAATTTCTCGCAGAAAATGCCTTAAGATTGCCACTGTTTTAAATCCGACGTTAAAATAAGTTTTAAAACAACTAAAAAAAGATCATCAACATTTTCTCTCCAACAGAACCGCGTTACTGCGCCAAGCCATTTGCAGCACTGCGCCAATTCCTAAAGTTCACTGAGTTACCCAGGCCTAATAAACTACATAAATTATATACGTCAACAAAACAAACACATAAATATGACTGTAATAATTTAATGTTAAACTAATTTTGGAGCGTTTGGTAAAATGAGCCAAGTTTTGTTTTTCACCTCATTCACAATTTTAAAGGAAAACCATCCATGTGAAACAAATGGCGTTATCTTATTCTTCTGTTCGAGCAGAACTATTCAAGACAAACAACTGAAACCTTTAATGATCAGGACACGGAATTCAGCGAAGGAAATATGATGCTTTAATTAACTGTTTCATTAAATGACTTTCCTCTGATTTTGCTATTGAAAAGCGAAATAATAAATCACGCTTACTTCATAAATAACACAACGGTTTGCAACGTTTATTTCCATAACCCCTTTTTGCTTTTTGCGTCCATAAAAATGTAGGTGTCCATAAAAGCCCAAATACTATAAAATAGCCCGAAGAACAGTACTTGAATACACCGATCCCACTTACTGAGAACCCGCGTCCTTTTCGCATTAAAAGTCAGGAAAAAGTTCATTGCTTTGGAAATCACCACCTGCTCGTATAAAAACGTTTCGGCAAAGTCCCCAAGAAAACTGTTGGATTCCGAGGCTGTTGGTCCGGTTGGAGCGTTTTCCTTTTCCAAGTAGTATCCATACTCTCCAAGAGGTTCTCTAATCATCGTTTGGGAGATTGAGTAAAGATTGTCAATGGAGGGCATAGCATTATTGGGAAATGCATATTTCGTCCAATTTCTCTGTCTCAGCCACTTTCTGTACTCCTCGTCTGAGACGCTGGCGTCGCTGCCCCTCGTGGTAAAGTACTCTAATGGGATTCTGGGTAACACATCTGTCTTACTCTGCGAGGCAATTTTCAAAGTGTGGAGGAGGTAATTCGGGTTGAAATTGACAAACTGAATCGGGTCACCATATGGAATTTCCATAGAAGACAAGTCATTTTCTATTAGTTTATTGGCCGTTTCGAACAAAACCTGACTGAATTGATCGGATGAATTTCCTGTTCTCAACTCATGGTCCAAGTAATTAATTAACTGGTTTTTCCTCAGCTGGATTGCTTCTGGTTGTTCAATAGGTGCTTTCTTCAAAACGTGCACCACATTACTCGATTTTTTCGGATTACTTAGTTCAGCTGGTTTCTTTGCTTTATTCCTCTTACTGTCTTTGTGCTTTCTTTGCTTCTTCTTCCGCTGCTTCAGCTGGTTCAACGCCGTATCCGACTTGGATCTATTTGGTTTTACCTGGCATCCCAAACGGCGGCCAGTTTCAATGTCTGATCGACTATCGAAATTGTTTAAATAGCCAAAAGTGTGGAGTTTTACTTGCATTTCTGTGTTTTTCCGCAAGGGTCCATGGGCCTGAACCCCTGCAGAGATCAGCTGCTTGTCATAGTTGTGCTCTTTTGACACCTTCCCCATTCTTTGCTCTAGTTGATAATCCTCTGACCTTGGATAACCGATTTCCCCGTGTTCCTGTCGTCTTACTTGCCTCGTTTTTGATAAGTCCTCATCCAAAGAACGATTTGAGCTGGTTAGACCGCCTTCACAATCATAATTTGCTAATTCGACTGATTTATTTTCTGTTTCTGATTGGGATTCCAGGATAATCTCGCTTGGATGGGCATCTGAAAAACGAACTTGTTTGGATTCAGGATTTTTAGCAGCACTATTAGAAGGGTTTGCTTTGGATTGATGGTTTGAGATCAAGCTTTTACTGATTTGGTCCGGCGCAATTTTGGTATCAGAAATATTGTTAATACAGTTTAGAACCTCCTTTTTATAGACGTTGATCAAAGTATCTACTATTTTGCTTTTCGAATTTGTATCAATTATGGACAACAATTTGGTCAACTCTCTAAGCTCTTCTTCGCTGCTTTTACATATCGGCCCCTTTGCATTGGTTTTATTTTCTGACAGTTCCCTGATGAACTTTTGCACATTTTCATCGGCCGTTTTCACAGCTTGTTCTAGTGGTTCAGAATCAGTATTATCCTCCAGGGAAAACTCCAAGTCGTAAAGCACCGGATCCGTTTCTTCCACAATATTTTCCAAATGCATTTTCTTGAACTCGGCGATGTTTACTGACCGCTCTTTATCGATTACCTGCCCATCGATTACCACGTTGTTCGGTGAAAGGTTTCGGGAATTTTTTATTTCGTCTAATCCAGTCGACAATTTTGACTTGGGCCGCCTTTCTATGTCCTTCATTTTTAAGGAACGATCAACTGGCTATGAAACTAGCCCGAGTCGAGTTGCGAATTTGGCGAAAAAAAATCCTATTTTACGTCAAAGATTGGAATATAACGTCATTTGTCAATAAGAAAAGACACGGGTTTTACACAATTTTTTTATAGGTTAAAAACTAAGATGTAAAGCAGACCAAAAATTTCCCAAAATTTAAAAATTAACTACGAAAGAACCAATAGCTCAATCGATACCAAATCCATCCTGTGACTCAGTTGATGAATATGGGAGGTGAAGTTGTACATGTACAAACAAACTACAAACTTACCGAAATCTGCGAAGTGCAACCTGGAAGGAAAGACGAAAA